TTTTATTTGGTATCTTTATATAAACCAAACAGAACATTATTTAACACTTTCTTGATGACAAAAGGGTATGTATGGAAAATAAACTACACATATACCTTTATTTCCCTCCATCCCACAGCGAGAGCACATATGAATCATTAATACAGCTTGGTCTTTAAATTTTCCAACACATAATACTTGAACCACTATCAATCTGCAGTTCAACTGCAGATTGAGATTTACTTAAAATCCCAACAGCACCATATCATGACTGTAAGTTACAATACTGTTAAAATAGGATAATCCACCTGCCTAAGATCTATACATGCTCTGTTCCCCACGTTCTCACATACCCCTTTTAAATTTCTCTTTCCTCAACTCTCAGATCTCCATGGCACTGATATCTACACAAGAGTAAACGCAAATTTTTACATAAGCACCCAGTTTACTATAGCTATTGAGAAGATTTTAAATAAATTAGGTAAACCTAATGAGATAATTTAACTAGGCACACTTAATAATGACTTTTTTTTATAATTTGACCCTAATTATTTCTAGATGAAAGGTAGTAAGTTGACAAGGTGCTAAAATTAAAATGCTTCCAGGATCAAGAGGTATTACTGAAGATAGGCTCATACCTGTAGGATCAAATAAGGCTTGGACATCAATGGCATCTGGAAGGCCAACCAGACTGAGTTCATCCCATAGTTTACCAGCCTGATCATCTGCAGCTGTTTGGGTGCTTACACTCACACAAGATACTATATTCTGCTGAGGAGATCGTTCTCTGAAATACAATAAAATAGCTTTGAAAGTGAAAACCAGTAGAAAATTGTTTCATTTCATAACTATTTAAATACAATGTACTGCCAAATCAATTTTAATTTATTAGGCATTAACTATCACAAAACAACTTTTAGAATCTATCTGTTATTATTAATATTACTCATTGTAAATATTAAACTTGGCTGCTATATCACATCATGTAAGCAACAATTAAGAAAAAGAATCTCCAAATCCATATGGAAGTACCAAAATTACAACTGTAAATTTATTTTTCCATCCTATAATTTTTAAAAAACTGACTCTCATATTTTAGTCAGGAATCATATTTTAACATATAAAATGAATATTCCCTTCGGCTTTACTTAAATGCTTATAAAACTTGATCAAATCAGAAATTTTTCATTGGTTTTATCTTAACTGAGGACTGCCACAACAGAGAAGGCAGTTAATTTTATGTAAAGAAACGTTATTTCCCAGGGCAAATGGAAGTCCACTACAAAGTGTGAAAAGGGAGGCAGGCGGGAATGGAACGTGTCAGCTGCAGGTTTCTTATGGTCCGCTTGACAAATCTCAACAGCTGGTCTGTGGCAGGACATTGCAAGTACTCTCAATCAAGACTATACATCACGAATCAGAAATAAAAACAAAATAGCTACTAAAGGCATGAAGAGCAAGGAAGATAGTATAACAGCAAAAACTATGATATAAGAAATCAACACTGAGTAAGGTATAAACGTATGGGAGATTTCAGACTTTCAAGCCCTAACACTTTACATATTATTTAAGATCATTAAATAAACAAAGACAACTATTGTGTTTAACATTAAAAATGGGAAATCAGACGACTGCCACTAGAACTTAAATCCTCTCCTAATATCATAGTATTTAACCTGATCATAATTCTGGATTAAATCACTATTGAATATAGACCATAACTCACTGCACTTCTGTATGCTGGATATTTATCATGATTCCTATTAAGAGAAAAATCAGCACAATGACCAGGGTACTAAACTTTTTATACCTGGAATCATTGAAAGAAAAAGAGTATTAACATATTTCAATAAGTACATTTAAATATCAAACCATATAAAAATAACCAGTAGTTTTTCTGTTTAGCATTAGAAATGCATAAACTAACTTTTTAGAAGATTCAGCATGTTATGCTAACTTTAAATTCTCATTTTTATAAATGCCCACAGTAAAATGAGAACAAATTCTTTCCTATAAATATAATCGCCATTCCTACAAATATTTTCTTCTTTACTAAGAATTGTTATTTTATTGGGTGGGAAAAAAAGAGACTAACGGTTCATGTATAAATACTAATGTACTGTTTTAACATATTTTTTGCACTGGTATTTGATGGTGGGGGGGTGAAAAATCAGTGGAATGATTAACCAGTTTATTACTAATCAGTTCCTAACTGGAAGCTTTATCAAATTCAACCTTCAGGTTCTAAGATTGGTTTGTACGTATCTACCATATCAATAAGACAAGGTCCACCTGAAGGATGACAGCAGCCCAGCCTTAGAAAGAGTATCAAGTCAACTGAAATACATATCCACAAAATTTAAAGTTATAAAACAAAAAGAGGAAAAGAATCCTATACATATTCTTATATTTAGTGAAAACAACAGGGTAATACCATATTAAAACCTCTTCTGTAAATTTTTTTTAAAAAATTATCTATTTATACTTCATTAGTAACATTTTGTAAATATTTAAAATCATTACCAAGCTAAATTAATTGTCTATCCCTAAATGATGCCAAATTTTGTAAGTGTGCTTCAGTAACTGGCTTGTTATCATTACTTAATAACTTAGTAAGCATTAAGTATATATAAAGACTTTCATAAAACAAAGGCTATTTTCATATAATTATCTGAGCTCATAAAAATTTTCATTAAAAATTAACTTTGCTTATAAAATAAATAAATTAAGCCCAATTCTACTTCCCAGGTCAGGATTTTATATAATTGCCATTATTCAAGGCTGAACATAAGGATATAAGATACAGCCTGGTCCAGTCCATTAAACTTGCTGATTATCAATGAACATTAAAAGTTTGCTGGACTTTTGATATATTTTATTAAGATGGAGTACTCGGGCTTGGCGAGGTAGCTCATGCCTATAATCCCAGTGCTTTGGGAGGCCGAGGTGGGAAGACTGCTTGAGGCCAGGAGTTCAAGACCAGACTGAGCAAGAGCGAGACTCTGCCTCTACAAAAAATAGAAAACAATTAGCCAGGCATGTTGGTGCGCCCTGTAGTCCCAGCTACTGGAGAGGCTGAGGCAGGAGGATTGCTTGAGCCCAGGAGTTTGAGGTTGCAATCAGCTATGATGATGCCACTGCACTCTAGCCTGTAAGACAGAGCAAGACCCTGTCTCCAAAAAGGGAAAATAAGAAAAGAAAAGAAAAAAGATGTGAGTACTCAATTGATAACTGAAAATAAGGCTCTTACATAACGGTCTAGCTATGGCCTCCAAAATATCATAACTTTCCAAACAGACTACTTCAAAGCTTCCTTAAACTGTTCTACCTTAAATTCTTTAAAAAGATTCTCTTTATTGTTTCATTTCCTACTTCAAGTCTTCAAGGCCTTGGCAGCAGTTCAAAACAAGGAGCCAATCAAATAAGTACAAAACAACAATGCTTTAGTACTTAAATTTGGATATAAACAAGATAAGCACTTGGAGAATTACATCATCACCTTCAAGAGGCAGAGCTTGTTAGCGTTCCAAGCTAAATTAACTTTTATGCGTTCTCATCAACTATAGAAACTACTACTCCCTTATCCTGCAGAGCCAAGTCCCCACATTAAGATGCCCTTTAAATACAGCTATACAAAATATTTTTTAAAATATCAGACAAGACTTTTAGGTCTTGCCCATAAATGCCCATAAATACAGGTGTAAATATCTAGTTATATGATATAATCATCTTAGGGAGTCTTTTTTTTTTAGCCTTTTCTTTAACTTTAGAAAGGGTATTCTCAGCATATAATTACAGAAAGAAAAAGGAAGAGGAAAGAAAGAAAAAGGAGTAAGAAAGAGGAGAAAGAAAACACTGTATTATAATAAGAAGTTATAGGACAGTTGAAAATTTTCTGAAACACACATATATAAAGTAAATAACTGATAGAATGAACAAATGACACAAAGGACATGAGTAGTGAAAACCAATTCTGAGTTTGCTATTACGTTATATTCTTACAATTAAAAACTTATTTATATAGAAGAAGGAAAGAGGACTTCATTGATCCATTTTATCTTCTTTCAATTTATAAATTCCATGAACTCTCTCTGGGCTTATGTTATGTACTTTAAACCTTTCTTCCAAAAGTTAACTTTTGTAATCACACTGATTTTGTTAATGTACAATTAAGATAACAAACTTTTCTGAAATAAATTTTAAGAAAAGGACCATTTGTTGGGTTAACAGTGACTCATAAAGTATCCCATAAATGTGGAAAACATGAGAAACTATTTGACAGTAAGAACTCCATTTGAAAATTTATAAGTATTACAATGAAAATAACTATACATAGTCTTAAGCCATTCCAACAAGTAAATTCAATACCACTTACTTTCTCTGTCCTCTTTGTTTTCGTGGTGCTGTGTTCTGTATTTTCTCATAGGTTCCATTGCTGTTGTCATCAATGTCCTTCTTGCTAGAAGGCTGGTTTCTCCATGGCAAGATAAATCCAGGTGTTACTCTGAATTGTTTTAAATCTCCTTGTCCTAAGGAACTTTTTTCCCCACAGTAACAAAAAGCGCAGAGCTGTTCACTGGTAAAAATAAAAAGTGAAGAAAACAGAGAAGGAGAAGTGTAGCTTTATTTAACTACTTTGACAGACAACTACCGATACTTCTACTTTAAAATTATGTCGTTAGTGCCAGCTAAGCTTTTCAATGTATTTTCTATGGTCTATTCAGTGATTATCCATGAGAACAATTAAGCTTAATAATTATACATTTGCAATTCTACTTTTCCACAGCAACATCTTTTAAAAAGTAGTATACATATCAAATAAAAAAATTCTAAGTTGTACTTAGGAAAATGATTTTCCTTTAAATTTGACTAGAGAAAATCAAAGTATTAAAAAGAATAAAGAAAATAAAGCTAACAATGGGGTAGAGAGTAGAGTTTAACAGCCATCCAACTGCATGACGGCTCTGTAAAATATGTGGTGACAGTTTTTTATTAAATGTTTATTAAATATTCCACTTGATGGAACATTTGTCATGCATTTTATATATATA